TTTTAGCCACTAGGTATCCGGCATCAGCATTTCTAGGGACAACTACAACCGCTGTGGTGTCATTCTCGGGCATTGGGGATACAATGATTGGAGGATTGTCATTCTGATCCAAAACAAACACGTTCACTGTTACGTTAGCGCGGAGAGGCGGAAAACCAGCATCTTCGGCTTGAACCACGATCTTAAAGTTTCTGAGCTGCTCGTGGTCGAAAGAACGCAGCGCGTAAATGTTGCCGTTATCTGAATTGATGGACACGTAGGTGGACACTGGCATTCCATGGATGTCGTTTTCTTGAATAGAGTAGGATAAGTAAGAATTCTGATCCGCGTCTGCGTCTTGTGCGGTGATGGTGCAAATCGAGGCTCCTGGCGCGTTGTTTTCGGTCAGGTAGACCGTGTAGGAGGGCTGTTTGAAACGCGGCGCGTTATCGTTTATGTCAGACACTTGCACTAAAATAGTTTTCCTGGTAAAAAGAGGAGGCGAGCCCATATCACGCGCCGTGAGGGTGATGTTATACTCTGAAATGGTCTCTCTGTCTAGAAAATCACACGTAACCAAAGTGTAATAGTTTTTAAAAGAGGAGTGCAGCTGAAAGGGAACGTGATGAGGAATTTCACAATCAACATTTCCGTTTTCCCCAGAGTCTTTATCCATAACGCTAATGACTGCTATCACTGTGCCAGGAGGCGCATTCTCTTGGACAGGCGTAGATACTGATGTAAGAATCACTTCTGGAAGATTGTCGTTGACGTCTATGATGTTAACCATAACTTTGCAGTGCACTGCCACCGCAGACGGTCCCTTGTCTTTGGCTTGTACATAAATCTCGTGCATTCGTGCCTTTTCATAATCTATAAGTCCTTTTACTTTGATTTCTCCAGTGCGGGAATCCACGCTGAACAGCTCGCGCACTCTCATTGGAGCGTGGCCGCTGAAAGAGTAAGTGATCTCTCCATTGGGTCCTTCATCGATATCAGTGGCGTTTAGTTTTATCACGACTGTGCCTCGCGGTGCGTTTTCAGCCAGCTTCACTTTATAAAAGTTCTGATCGAACACAGGCGCGTTATCGTTGGCATCCAGTACCGTTATGTTTATTTGCGCAGTGCCCGACCTCTCTGGCGAGCCTCCATCCACCGCTGTAATAACCATCAATTGAGTCTTCTGCTGCTCCCGGTCCAGCGAACTTTCAAGGATCAGTTCTGCGAATTTACTGCCGTCACTACGCGTCTGGACGTCCAGGACGAAGTGTTCGTTTACGCTCAGCAAATACGAGCGCATAGAGTTCTCACCGACGTCCAGGTCCTGCGCGCTTTCCAGTGGGAAGCGCGATCCAGGCGCGGCGGATTCGGAGATATCCAGGTTAAATTCACTCCATGGAAAGACTGGAGAGTTGTCGTTAACATCAAATATTTCAACTTCGACCCGATACAATTCCAATGGGTTTTCGATCACAACCTGAAGATGGAATGAACAATATGGATTTTGTTCGCACAACTCTTCTCGATCAATTCTTTCATTGACAAATAAAACCCCGTTTTCTAAATTCACCTCTAAATATTGCCGTTTTGCACCTGAGACTATTCTAAATCGGCGGACTGAGAGTTTGTTGGTGTCTAATCCCAGATCCTCCGCAATATTTCCAACAAAAGCCCCGTGCTCCAGTTCTTCTGGGATCGTGTAACGAATCTGTGCCAGAACTACATCCATCACAGACGCGATGAGCGCCAGGCAGGTTACCTGCCATGTCCATATCCACAGCTCCATTTAAATATATTCCCCTTCCTGCGTGCCTTCAAATGAACGACCAAACAAAACACTCATAGCTAAAGCTTTAAAACGGTAGACAAAAATCCACCCAAACGCACAGTAACATTTCGTGAGAGAATGAGCACGCTAATGACAATGAAGTGGTAAGTCCCCGAACCTCGTATACTTTAGCACTGGAGTGCGCGCCTTTGGCCAATGGCACGTGCGCAAGAGTGAGATAGCGTGAGTGTGTTTGGATGAGGGAGACAGAAGGGGAGGAGATGAACACTAAACACTATACTTTATTGTGGTTTCATTTTCAATACATTTCTTACATTCTGTTAAAATTAGAATCGTTTCACAATTGGGGGTTGTTTATCTCCCTTTGCCATTACATAAAAAATCAAATAAAATGTATAATTTCAACACACTGTATAGATGAGTCGGCTTATAATTATATCCCCATTTGCCTGTTATTAACCATAATATGTTTAGGAATTACATTCGTTTTACAGAATGGTGCCCATCTTTTTTATATAATTGGGTCATTGATTTGCATTTTGTGTCCCCAGTAAAGATCATGATCTTACTTAGACAGGTTTAAATGTATATTGTTCAACATTTTAAGTCATAAATAACACAATTTGAATTCTAAGCATATGGAAGTTGACATTTTACAGCATTTTGAACCACATATCATAAACCTATGTCCCCAGGTCTGTGTATCCCAATTTCAGGTTAAATACAACACTTACTAATAGGTGTTTTTATTTTCATTTTTTTTCTACATTGTTGGGTATATCAGTAAAGATTTTCTCTAATCAATTTTTGCAATTATTATAATCAAGATTTTTAGCTAGTGCCTCAATTTATTGTCCACCCTGTTATTTTTGACTGCTGTCCCTTTAAATTAATGTTGGGAAAATTAAATTACATCATATCATAAAGCTGTCCATCACTACTGTGGAGGGAAAACAATTTGGGAAAGTGAGTGAGATCCTACTGAGATTTAACTGTCTATTTTGACTAATTTTATCTTTCAAATTTGATGTAGTCAACGTCCAGCCTGTTAAGGGAAAAATGAAGAAAAAAAATACAATTTTAAAGACTATGCTATTCTTTATTAGATAAACCGAACTATTAGCTTCTTTTTGCTCAGACGTGGTGCAGTGGCTGATTTTAGGTCAGAATGTCCACCCTGTTTCTACCTTGTTAAATAAGACCTAACAGATTGCACTGAGAGTGTAAATGCTTGTAAAAGTAATTTATGTTTGAAGTTGAAGTAGTGTATTTAAATTTCTTTGGCATTGTTTTACATGTTGTTTCCCATCTCAATCCAGTTCAAACTAAAGCAATAATGTAACTGGTTGTGTGTGAGAGATAGGAAATCATCCACCCATCTTGTCCACATCCACCCTGTTATTTTGTGCATCTCAATCAAAAATTTATGTATCCTATAAATGAGGGGAGAAAGCTGAGCCAACAATACGTCATTATACCCCTTAGCCTATGCGCCGGAAAAACAATTGTGCATTCTTTAGAATTTTCTTTGAACTTTCCTTTCAGCAGTATATATATTTCTATGGCATCATCGCTGTTGAAGAGTAATTGGTGGAGTGGATTTACTTATTGTAGAGTTAATGAAGGTTATCACAAACATTGTAATGTTTAAAGCAGATGTCATAACAAATGCCAGTAGACTGGGAAGATTTTAAAACGAGTGGCTCATTCATAAATCCGTAAGATCTTACCTTCATGCTGTAGAAATACAAACCGCAAGACAAGAACACAACGTGTGCAGTGCTGAAAAGGGGCGTGGCTACATACGGTCTATAAACATAAAAAATATATAAAAGAAACAAGACGCAAAATAGGCCTAATCTTAAATAATTTTGATATTAGTTCAAATAAAAAAGTGTGAATTAGGCCTACATTTAATATTCAGACTAACATTTAGCATTAAGCTATTGTTATAATTATTATTATGTGGTGGGTTACAAAAGCAGACGAAGCTGAGACAAAGAGGTTTCAACGTATTTTAAAATAACTAGCTTCTTCCCCATGCTATTCCTGCAGTCTTATCCCTTTCTCGTTCCTCCTGCCTTTCCTGACAAGTAAAGAAATTCTGTTTTAAATAAGCACCAAACACAATCTGTCTGTGGAATGAAACTGCGGCAGATGGCACGATCTTCCAAGGGCTCGTGCTCTTTTTAATTAATGTAGTGGGGATTAAAGGGCCGCGGGTCCGGATCATTAGTGAACAGAGGTATTAAAAGGTTTTGTGAGGCATAATCCAGCCGCTCGCGATTGGTTGAGCAGCAGACTACATGGTTCCCATGATATTCTCCTGCTTTCCATTACCTTAAGTGCATACTAAATGGCATAGAGCCGAGTCGGAAATAAAGCAACTTAAATCGACCCACCAAACAAACACATTTACTCTCATTAATGGCCAAAAAGAGGACACGAATGTAGAGTGGTGTAAACAGTTGTTCTTCGTGGTCATTGTCATTAAGGTCATGTGGAAAGGAAGTCAGTCATCAAATATTTTACAGTGATGTATAATAATTAGGGCTGGGAAAAAATTAATCGTAATTAATCGCATCCAAAATAAAAGTTTTGTTTACATAACATATGTGTGTGTAGTGTGTATAATTATTTTGTATATATAAATACACACATATGCATGTATATATTTAAGAAATATTTGCATGTATATACTGTATATATATTTATACATCATTTATATTATATATAAATATACATATTTTTATATTAATAACACATTTTTCTTAAATATATACATGCATGTGTGTGTATTTATATATACAAAATAATTATACACACTACACACACATATTTTATGTAAACAAAACTTTTATTTTGGATGCGATTAATCACGATTAATTTTTTCCCAGCCCTAATAATAATTAATGATAGTAGCTATTTATATTTTGTCAGTGAACAAAATCTAACTGAAAGCGCTAGCTATACTATTGCTATAAGCGAATGCGATTTTTTTTCTTGTAATCTAACTTTTTATTGTTTGTAAAACATTTGAAAACTCTGATAGCCTAAGATGGCCTATAGCCTTTATAGCTATACTTATCAGGAGGGGATCGAAATGTAATTAGGGGGCTCGGGCTCGGGCTCTGTGTTCATATAAAATACATGTTATGAATACTGGGCTTTTTTTTTTCTCAAACAAAAACCCTAAAAATCTAAATTTGTACTGAGAGATACACCTAAATAATAGTGATAAAATGAAATGTAAAAAATGTAACCACCCCGACTAATTTTAGGGTGTCATACGGTCCGGACATTAGACTGGCACTAATTAAAGGCTCATTTTCTTTCTATCTCTGAATTGATTTTAGGAGAGTGGTTTAATGATTTTAGATTAGTCTGTAGCCTACATTAGCCTTCAGTGAACTCCACAAATGCGGATTGACCTACAACAGTATTAGGCGACACAACTGGGGCCACTGTTTATAATCCAAATAGTCTGAGATAGAATTTGACAATTGAATAAACAGATAGGCTATTTATTGATATTATAAATTCAGAGAGTCAATCATTACTCACCGACCACTTTTTTAGGTACACCTGTTCAGCTGTTTGTTAACGCAAATATCTAATCAGCCAATCACGGCAACTTAACGCATTGAGACGATCTGCTGAAGTTTAAACTGAACATCAGAATGGGGAAGAAAGGTGATTTAAGTGACTTTGATTGTGGCGTTGTTGTTGGTGTCAGACGGGCTGATCTGAGTACGGCTGATCAACTGGGATTTTCACATACAACCATCTCTAGGGTTTACAGAGAATGGTCTGAAAAATAGAAAATATCCTGCGAGTGGCCGTTCTGTGGGCAAAAATGCCTTGTTGATGCCAGAGGTCAGAGGAGAATGGCCAGGTTCCAGCTGATAGAAAGGCAACAGTAACTCAAATAACCACTTGTAACAATCGAGGTCTGCAGAAGAGCATCTCTGAATGCACAACATAACCAACCTTGAAGCAGATGGGGCTACAGCGGCAGAAAACACACCGGGTGACACTCCTGTCAGCTGACAACCGAAAACTGAGCTACAATTCACAACTGCATGACGCTATCATGACAATATGGTCCAAAATCTCTGAGGAATGTTTCCAGCACCTTGTTCAATCTACGCCACGAAGAATTAAGAATGTTCTAAAGGCAAAAGGGGGTCCAACCAAGTACTAGCAAGCAGTGTGTGTGTGTGTGTGTGTGTGTGTGTCTTTATTCACTAGACAAATTCCTTGTGTGTATAAACATACTTGACAATAATCTCATTCTGATTCTAATTTATGTCAATCACTATTTACGTTGCACCAAATACAGCGCATTAAAACTTGCTTTGCCTACCCGTAAGGAAATAGCGGACTTGGAGCCTTACTAGTTGAACATAGGTTTCAGACTTTGGTTCTGAGTAATTAGAACAACACCATCTTTGCAGTGCAAAAGTGGATATAAATGGTTAAGAAAAATAAAAGATTAATCATGAATGTATGTAAATGTGAGAATTTTTATTCTCTTACTTTTTTTTTTTTTCATAATTATAAGTATAAGTGAATATATATCAAGTAATTCTAGCTGAAATAATTGCAGAATTCTACAGAAGTAAGAGGAATATCATTAGACTGTACAGTGCTGCCTTGCAAGCAGTAAATGCAGAAACTGAAGCACTCATGGTTCTGACTGCAGATGAAGACCTATATACTAATCCCACCTTCGTGAACTGCCACGGGGTGGAGGCAGAGTCTTCTGCTAATTACCCCATTCCTCCTGCTGGCCCGCGGCAAGCAATCAAGAGAACAAAGTGTACATTTTCATTTACGCACCAAATCTCTCTCACACACACATACAGGCAGTGCAGAGATGGGGCAGAGTGCCACAGACGGGGAACGTCAAGAATGCCATAGGAATGCGGGCCCTGCCCTCACCTCATTCTCACACACACACATAAACATGCTCCCTTCTCACACATTTACACAGATATGGACATGGTTTGTCATTTTAACATGACTGGTAGAGAAGGATCACTCTGTAAGGCCTGTATGTGGAGACTGGTTGTGGTGGTGGTGGTGGTGGTGGTGAGGTGGGGGGGTGGTGGGGGGGGGGGGGGGGGGGACAAAAAAACAAAAGCAAAAGACACACAAAATGAAGATAGATTGAAAGAGCAGCTGGAAGGCCAGGACTCAGGAGTAGAGAAGACAGTGAAGATGAAGGGAATGAGGGGCAGAGGGAGGGCCTGTTGAATAACACCTGCTTCTCAGCTGTGTCAA